AGAGAGAGAGAGAGAGAGAGAGAGAGAGAGAGAGAGAGAGAGAGAGAGAGAGACAGACAGACAGACAGACAGAGACAGAGACAGACGGACAGATTCATTTGTTTGAAACATGAACTGGAGAAAAAAGGAAGATTGGACATGAAATGATTTTGGAGTAGGTGAGTACGGGGCCCGATCAAACAACTATTGACGGTCAGTTGTTAGTGAGATTCAAAGTCTTATGTAGCAGTTATCAGAAGCGTTCAACCATAGCACAAGTCTTCAAGAAAGCTGAAAAGTTTTTCATGCCTTTATAGCATTCAGTTAGCTGCACAGCAAGACAAGAAAGGCAGGCAGGCAGGCAGATAGCTAGACAGGCTGGCAGGGCGGCAGGCAGACAAACAGATGGATGGACGGACCGACGAACGGATGGAGGGGGGAGACAGAGGGAAGGAGGGATCAACAGAGGGATCGACGGAGGCCTGAAGGACAGATCAACAGAGAGAACGACTGAGAGACAACAGGCGGACAGACCAACAGAGTAGACAGAGAGACTGACAGACATACAGACAGACAGAGAGATAGAAAGACAGACAGAGGGTCAGAGCAACAGAGAGACGGATGGGCCGACAAACAGATAACAACAGACGGACGAACAGACGGACGAACAGACGGACAGATGGATGGACAGACAGACAGACACAGACAGAGAGATCAGTCCTTCCTTGGAACGGGGGATTTGGGACTGGATACTGAACAAGCAATTTAAAAGCTTCTTTGCTAATGTCATTCATATCTAAGTTCATGTAGCTGCAAACGCAGAAATTTGGCATATGGCATATCTTGCCTGGCATGGTATCAGGAACTCACCTCCAACACCTTCTGCTCCACTGATCTTTCTCCTGCAACGGGAGTGGCCCTCCCTCCCATAAAGGCAAGGTAGTTCATGATAAGCTTTGTCGCTTCTGTCTTACCCGCACCACTTTCTCCACTGACAAGAATTGACTGACTCTTTTCCTCATCCATCATAGCCCTGTCTCAGCCAAAAAGTTCAAAGACACAGAGTGTCACTAACTAACGAAGTGGTTTTCAATCCTTGCCTCACTAACTTGCATACGCATATAAATGTAAAGGTGAACACGAGACAATGTAGTAAGGGGCTTGCGACAAGGATATTCAAAAAGATTGGTGAGATGACTACGTAACTTGGAGAGAAGGGAATGCAATTGTCCCCTTTCGGGGCAAGGATCCATGGCTCATGGCTGTGTCAACCTCCCACGAATCGCTTCGCAAGTCGAACACACCCAAAACATGGATTGTCTCTTGCCCTCTGGAAACTTGTTACAGATTCTTTGGCCCTCTTACTGTCAATGGATGGGTAGAAGGAGCCAGGCCAAAGGATCGTCAACTATGAACAAACCAGGAGAGTGTGCTGTCAAAAAAACAATTATACAGCAAGAGATGGAGGAGTTGGGAGAAGGAAAAGAGAAGGAAAAGAGAAGGAAAAATGCTCAAAATCAACAAAGCACAAGAGCAATCAGAGAAATAGGCTCGCTTGAGTTTTGAACTGCTCAAACTTTAATAGGCTGTATTTCTTCATAACTTCCAGGAACTCAAAATGCCGATGTTTTTCCTTTTTCACCTTCAAGACTTCAACCAAAATCTCCAAGTCATTTTCCAGGCATATCAACTTGAAATCGAATTAATCTCTCAGAAATTCACAGCCAGTAAGGTCAACAACTACTGACTCAGTGTAGTATTGACTGTTAAGTTGTTAACTCTTCGTTGTTATGTACTCAGTTTTTAGTATGAGGAAGACACTGTCAAGTTGTTTCAATTGAAATTTAAACCACCACTACATCCGAGCATATTTCTCCTGAGCCGACTTGTGCTCTGTGCCAAAGAAAAAAGAACCACCATGACACGAAACATTTCGTTTTGGCTGGCTTTGCCAGCCAAACAGTTCTGGCAGGCGGAGCCCCTTAAGCTGCAGTTAATATGCTGCTCCGGAAGGAAACAAAAGCTGGGAGACATAGTTACTGTCGTGGTTCAAACCACCACTACCTCCCCCAGCAAACTTTGCGACGAAGATGTCCACAACCACAGTCTTCAGATGAACAGTGATACTGGACCAAAATTGCTGGTGGCGCCAGCCAAAACAAAACGAAAACGCAGCATTGGCAGTTCGGTCTTTTTGGCACATCGTGGAAAATCCGCATTGGGAAAAAGAGGCTCCGAGGTAGTGGTCACCTAAGCAGGCAAGAAAAGAAAGAAAAACAAGAACCCCCGTTTTTCCAACTTCTAAGTAACTTTGCACTGTCATTAAGGGCACTCGGTACTACTTACTTGTAAGCTCTGTCAGCCACTGCATACACGTGAGGTTGGCTGACCTCTCCAGGCTGTGCAACCTTGAACATTTCCATGAGTTTGGTTCCAACCAAATGTGGCACTGCTTGGAAAGGATTGATGGCGATACAAATGCTCCCTGTGTATGTCTGGGGATGTAAAAGTTTCATTCAAATAAGGCCATGATGGAAACAGGCAACCCAAACAGAAAGGAGACCATGGTTAGAAAATAGATGAGTCACAACGATAAACAGGGTGCTGAACACGCAAGGGAGAGATCATGCTGCTCAAACAAAAAACAACCTGAACGAGTTCCCTTCCAGTGAGGAATGAAAAAATTTAATGGGAAACTAGTAAAAAATACTAAAAATACTTATCAAACGCACACAGTTAAGACAATGTCATTCAGGTGTGTAAATGACTGCTTTTGAATTATGATGAGCACCAAGCCTTCTTTGCAGAAATCTAATAGTCATTAGTATCCGTTCTGAATCTCTCTCAATATGCTCATACATGGTTCACTCTGAGTCTCTGTGCGCTGGTGCGCTCCTCTGTGCTTCCATGTGTGTTGTAACTTGTACCATTCACCAGAATTGACATCCTCCACATGTGTGTTCCTGCAATTTGTGTGTGTGCACTGTTGAAAACTGCCCACTAACAGTCCGTATTTCATGGTGAGCAAATAATATACCAAACGTGAATAGCCGTTATCCTTCTGTTGTCTTGTGATGCTTCCAACTTCACTTCGCAGTGTTCGCACACGGTGAGCTCATTTTGCACACCTGATTCTTGCACCTCCATTGGAGAGTAGGATGACTGGTTTCTATCTCCTCATACTTTGGGGACACTTGCAATGTTGCTCTTTCGATCTTAAGCCGCCAGTACCTTTCCCAGCTATTGGTCGTGGGCCCTGCGTGCCAAGTTTGGAGGCGCATTTGGCCGCCACCGGAGGCCGAGTGCGGCCTCCATGTCAACCGGCACGAAACGACAAAATGGGTGGGAAAGGTACTGGTGTCTGGTGGTTTAAGCTTTTATGTCACACCTCTGAACGAGTGGGAGAGAGCATCGGCACCGACCCTGTTAAACCATCAGTACTTGGCCCAGCTATCGATGCCGAGCCTGAATATGCCTGCGCGCCGTTTTGCGCCGACCCGCCAGCTAAACAAAAAAAAAAATTGTTTTGGCTGGCAGCGTCAGCCTTTCACGTCCGGTACCCTGGGCCTCCAAACTTTCAGGCGTTAACGACAACACCCCACAGCCGACATATGTGCCAAGTACTGGTGGTTTAATGCACAGCTCCAGCAGTAGTGTGAGCGCAAAAGATTTTGCACCCCCTTGCTCGCGCATGCGAGCATTCAAATTTTGAGCAAGCCAAACATGCACCTTTGTGCCAAAAGCAACCTCAAGGGGAAGTAAGGAAGGGAGGGGGAGAGAAAGGGAAGACGATCCGTCCGTCAACCATTGGCCGTTTCGTGAGGACAACATAGGGCCGGGTGAGGCAAGACACTAGAAGAAGTGACAGCCCTGCCCTGGGGGCGGCACAAGGGAAGAGGAAAAGGTGAGGTGACTTAGTCTAAGGTGTGGTGGCTCCTCCTCTCATGAAATATGAAACTGGCTTTGTTGGCAACCACACATTACTTCCCACGAATAGAAGAGAGATAGATTACGCATTGCTTGTGCTCTACCGGACTTAACTTCAGAGAATTTTCTCACTGAGCTTACACCAGTGCATTTCCCAGCCGTTTTCATGCTGCTGCAACTTTTGGGGCTCAGCCGCAGGAGCAAATGGCTGGCAGGACCAGCCAAAAGAAGGCCCTTTTGGTAGACAGCACGTTTCCAGCCTTTGAAAAAAAAGTTCTGGGAAGTACTGGTGGTTTAAGTATGGCACACAGCCCGTAATAATTTCCCAGGGGACGCAGTTATTTCGAGACCAGCGCCTTGTTCCAAGCATGTTCATATGGTCGTGACCCTGGTTTTGAAAACGTGGACAGGCTCCGGTCATGGCCACAACTTTCTTGGGTCTATTGGTAAAAGAGGTGGTGCTTCTGCATCGACATTTGAGCAGCGCCGTTAGCCCACCAGTACTTGGCCCAGCTATCGATGCCGAGCCGGCCGACCCCCTGTGCGCCAAGTTTTTGCAAACCGCCGCCACTCCATTTGACTTTGTTTTGGCTGGCGCTTCCAGCCATTGAGGTCTGGTACCTCTAAGCCCAGAAGTTGCGGGCGGCCCGCGGCCGATGTATGGGCGAAGTACTGGTGGTTTAAAGTTGGAAACTGAAAACTCCCTCGTTCACTGCAAGCCAGTTGAGGAAACAATTATGGACTGGCAGTGGAGCCTGCAAGTCCCCAAAGTAAGTCAGTGGAGCACAAGCCAAAGAGGTGTCGTAAGCAGCGCAAGTGGAGTACAGGATTCGGAGCTCTTGGGATGGCAGATGGCACCGTATGTCTACCAGTCTTCCAGTACAACTTAAAGGTGGGGAGTCTTGCCACTCACACTCAGTGTGACGTGCCAGGAGCCCCCCAGAAAGAGAGGGGGATGTGTCTCTGAGGAGCTATCAACATGGGATGCTCTCAATTTTAGGTCCCTAAACGACTGCCTGAACAATATTTTGCAGGAAAAAAGAGAGAAGAAAGACATGCGCTCTGACCTAGCCCATGTGGCTGAATGGTACACACAATCCCACTAACATGAGGATGAGGTTTTGCATTCCACTGGTACCACGCTACCTTCATAAATTTAAGAAGGTTTGGACAGAGCATTAAAAAAGGGATAATTTGCAAAATTCCCCAACAAGTTGAAATGCCCCTAAAAGATGTGAATAGAGCGGAATGCCCCTCTGACAGAAAACATATTTTGTGAAATACCCCTTGCATTGGTTGGAATACACCCCACCGGGTACTGTCCAACAACTTTGCAAAGTGCCGGGGTACTCGCCAACTTTTCCCAGGCCCTATTGCGCATGGTCAAGGCCCAAATGCCAAGGTCCGTATTGTAAACTTTTCCACTCTACCCTCATGGGCCTCATAACTCATTGGCATATATCTAAACTTATGAGGGTATATGCAAACCCCGCCCTCAAAAAAAACGAAAACCCAAAGAAAGAAGAAAGAAAAAGAAAGTCGAAGAACGGAAAAGAAAGTCGCTTCCGTGCGTGAAGAACGTTGCTGGAAAAGGAGGAATGAAGGGCTCTACTGGCCGGACGTTTTATTCGGGGGAAACCGGAAGTGGGACCGCACCACAGTAACTGATTCGTGAGGCCTCGCCACACCGCCCACCAAATGCACAGAGACAAAAAAATATGGCAGCGCATATTTCCATTTTTAGCCGAAGGTTCATTTTCATTTTGCACATGCGGGTGAGTGGGGGGGGACCGTGCGGCGAGCTGAACTTTTCTCCCAGCAGGGCTTATGGCATCATTGTCCTTTCGTGGGACCTTCCAGTGACGTGAAATAATCTCCCACTCTCCGCCACGTGGATCAACGGGATAGCGCGGCTGCCGCGTCGCAATCTGGACTACGACAGGCACAATACCGCTTCGCGAGGCTATGAGCCAGTTCTATTCTTGTCCCGGCCGAATATCGCCTTGTCTGACGTGTTTCAGTTCACTCGGCGTTTCACGTTCAGCGAGGAAGCGGGCCAACGAAGGGATAAAGGGCCTCGCCGCACCACTCACCAAATGTGTAAAATGGGAATGAATCTTATACACCGCCATAATTTTTGTCTTTTGTGCATTTAGTGAGTGGTGCGGAGAGGCCCAAAAGGAAAAAACGGGAAGGAAGACAAATCGAACGCTGTGCGTCTTCGGACGCCTGACACGGTTGCTGGCAAGTGCAGCTCTCTCACCAAACAGATCGGAGCTTGCGCACTTATCTTTACAAAACGACAGGGCCGAGTTATTTCCAGCTGTGCTCATCGCATTCGACCTGAGACGAGCCGAGGACCACGCAGCCATACACCGCGTGATTCCACCGAACAAAATCCTACGATTGGATCTGAGTCCAAGGAATTACCTAGGAACAAATCTGGTTTCCCGGTATCTTGCCCAGGTCTCGATCTCGCACCGGCCCTGGATGGTAGGGCAGGCCCCGTGAAAACCCAGAGAAAACAAAACAGCAATAGAAACTCCACTAGGGACTTACCCTCCTACCCACTGGGCCAGCTTGTGCTACAAGCGGGTGAGGAACCGAGGCCGACGACGGAGCATAGGAAGGACAGGCAAACGGAGACGACGTAGTAGGACATGCCTCAGACAAACGGCTGAGATAATCCAGTGGTTCAGTTTGCATTGCTGCTACCCGAACTCCCACTGGGCCGTCGCTTGGTCATTCGACTCTTTGCACAAAGAGTGACAAGTAGGAGGAAAGGGAAGGGAGGGGGGACGAGGGTACGGTGGTACACGGTTCTCCAGAGACGTTGACCGCCTTGTTTTGCCGGAGGGGGGGCGGGGGCTGCTACTGTCGGTTGCCTGCTGTACATGAAATGGGGCTCGCTCCACCGCTCTGGATTTCGACAGTCGTGCTCCACCCCACCTACTCTCGAAAAGACCACTTCTTTATGCACTGTGAAGTACATTCGGTTAGCCGAATGGCATGGGCATTGGCGCCAGCGGCCATATGACCACAACCAGACGAATGCTGCGTTTGCTGGGCTTCCCCGGAGGCTTCTGCTTGCTCCTGCCACCACCGTGCCGGACGAAGACAAACGCGTCATTCTAATCTTCTCCAGTTGAATTTCAAACGGATGTCCTAACCGTAGTAACGGACGGAGAAACGGATTTTGTCTACGGTCCACCACTTTGATCTCAGAGCTTTTTTTTTTTTTTTTTTTTTTAATTGTCAATTCATACTTCCAGTACATAATAACAACAAAGCTCAAATTCGTGGTCACACCACCGTTGCAGTTGCTGTGGACCGCCCGAACTCGTCCGTGTGTCAATGTACACCTCGAGAAACCTCGGGCGGTCATCTACAGTCACTGTCGCTATGGTGACGGTTTCGTTGTAACAGCCCCTCTGGCCCCTGCTACCAGGGGGGCTGGGTTCCACTTCATGCACTGAGTCGATTTCCCCCTTCCAGGGCCGCGTTCTCCCTGCTTGGTCTGGCTTCTGCCAGATGCCATCTTCCTGGGTTTAACCATTGTCTGTCGGAG